TCCTTGTAGCTGGTCAGGTACCACAGGGTCCCGGTTCCTACAGCATCGCTGGTCCTGGTTTCCAGGGCTGAATGATGAAAAAACAAAAGCATGTCTTCCGGGAGTTCAGAAGTAGCAGCACGGAAGCAGAATTGTCACCAACATCATATATTACAAAGTACATCAAGACATTCAAAATCTGCAGGTGAAAAGGACCGAGGTCCAGGTCCATTAGCATATCTATCACAAGGAGGTCTGAGTCGGGGAAGGACACCGAGAATTTACACAAAGTTTCCCTATTTGAGGCTTCTCTTTTGTTGGTTTGTATGCACACAGGTGTATATTTTTCCATCCCCCATAGCCCACTCCCCCTCTGTTTTCTGCCCATTGGAAACTATTTCTAAACTACAGAAAACCTTTTTTTATGTGCAGTGTTTATTTGAATATGTTATTGCAAAAATGTGTAATTTTGTGCATGCATTTTAATTTATGCCGGTGGTCTTATTTAATATCCTATTTTGTTGATTCAATGGTACAGCCTTCTGATATTTTAACATCCTTAAATTGGGATGCAGCTTACAATAGCTATAGTGTCACAGTATAACTGATAGCACTTTTTCTCTCTTAGAAACTTATAAAATCTTGAACTAATGTTGAACACACCTCAGATTCAAAGTAAGAAACAGTATACTTGTGTGTTCTGACTTCTTTCACAAAGGACTATGTACCAAGGTCTAAATACTTCCAGGAAGTATGTTTTTCACATCTGTTAGTGAAGAGTCCCTGAGCTGAGTGAGAAAGCATCATAATGCAAAATATGAAGCAAAAGCACAGTCATGGTGTTCTTACTTGACAACTATTTACTCTTAAAGAAATTGATCTGCTGATTCTAAAACATATATGGAAATGCTAAGGATATAGAATTGCCAAGACAATCTTAGAGAAGAGGAATAAACTGAAGGACTTACACTACCTGATTTCAGAGCTTATTAGAAAGCTATATTAATTAAGGCCTTAGTATTGGCAAAAGGATAGACACATAGACCAATGGAACAAAACAGAGGGCTTACAAATAGACTTGTATAGACAGAGTCAATTGAATCCGAATGAAGGAACCAGTGATGTTCAGTGGGAGAGGGAAGATCAACATTACATCAGAAGAAGTATACATGGAATGTGGGATATAGTCATGGCCACAGAAAATACAATTTGCCATAGAAAACAAGAGCTAAGTTGATCTTCATTAAAATTAGGAACTTATGACCTTCAAGGATACTGTTCTGTAAATGAAAAGAAAAACTACAGACTGGGAAAAAATATTTGCAATACATGTATCTGACAAAAGACTTGTATCCAGAACACATAACAAAATATTATAACCCGTAATAGTTAAAAACAGACAAAGGTCGGGGAGGAGGAATGGGCAATTGTTTAATAAGCATAGAGTTTCAGATTTGTAAGATGAAAGCAGTTCTGGGGATTGACTGCACAACAAAGTGAATGCACTTAACATTATTGAACTGAACACTTAAAAATGGTTAAGATGGCAAGTTTTATGTTACGTGCATTTTACTACAATTAAAAAAAAGTCTTAAATAATCCCTTTACAAAAGAAGATCTAAGAATGGCCAATAGCACATGAAAAGATGCTCAACATCATTAATTACCAGGAAAATGCAAGTTAAAACTTCAATGAGATACTATTTTAGGACGGTGAAAATTTAAAAACTGACAATATCAAGTTGGTGAAGATATGAAGCAATAGGAACTCTCAGACATTGCTTGTCGGAAGGTGAGATGACACAATCACTTTAGAATATTGGCAATTTTTTACCAAGTTAAACATATGTTCTCCCATGTCCCAATGTGGCTCTGGGAGAAAGATGGTTCCCCACCCTGGAAAAGTTCTCTATGAATCCTCTGAAACCGAAGAAAGTCAATGGAAAGGGTAGACTTGGGATTAAAGTTTTATTTCTCATGGTTCAGTCTCTCTCCCAGCAAACCCCAGCTGTTAGCGCCTTCTCACCCAGCAGCACTCACCAGTCCTCCTTCTCCCGTCCTGGTGCTCTCCCGTCCCCCCAACCCCCACTTCCGGGAATAATGCCATGGGCGGGTCACTGATGACTGGTGGGCACCTGACCAATTACATACCAGGAACAGAGGGGAGGAGAGAATGACTGCTACTCTCAACCCCTTACCCTGTTCTGGCAATCCCATGACAGACCTGTGGCTCTGCCCTGGTAAATACAAACACCACACTGATGTGCAAACAGGACCTTATGTGCATATCACTGTCAATCCTGCACAGGGATTCTGGTTGAAAACTCCGATTTGCCCAACACCCAGCTGTTCCATTTTTTTAAATTTAAATATCATCGATACACAATCTTATACTGGCTTCAACTATACAACACAGTGGTTCAACAGTTACTGACCTTATTAAATCCTGATTCTCTCTAGTGCAGTTACTAACTGTCAACACAGGAAGATGTTACAGAATCATTCCAGCCATTCCATTCTTACCTGAGAGTTACAAAAACATATTTCCACAAAGGACATGTCAAAATGTTTATAGCAGCTTTTTTCCTGCAAATAGCTCCTAACTGGAAACTGCCCAGGCGTCCATTGGAAGGAGAGTGGATAAACCAATCATGGCTTATTCATACTGTAGACTACTACTCAGAAATACAAAGAAACAATGGCTCCAGATACACACAACAACTTTGGTGGTGGGTGAATCGTAAAGGCACTATGCTGAGTAAAATAAGCCAGATGTAAAAGAGTACATAGGTTCCATCTACATACATCTTAAGAACAGGCAAAACCAACACATAGTGATAGAAATCAGAGCAATGTTTTTTGGCACGGGGATGTGGGTAACATATTGCCTGGAAAGGGACACCAGGGAGCTCTCAGGGATGATGGAAATGTTTTACTCTTTCACTCAGGTGGTGGCTGCACAGGTCCAGACTCTTCACATGATACATTTGGTATTTGTGCACTTTACTGTATGCAAAATATACCTCAACAGTAAGAAAAAAATCACCCTTTTCTTTATTTATTCATTTTATTCAATTTATTTCAAATTATTCATTTAACTTATTTATTTATTCAAACATATAAAGTTTGATGTTTACTTATTTATCTTTTCTACTATGAAGGTCAGGAATTATTCTGACCTCTGTGAGTAAAACAGTTTACAAGACACACCAGTCTGTGATCTCATGGAATTTATAGTCTACAAAGGAAGGAGCCATATTTGACATGGGCACTGTGTTATACCCAGCATGGAGTATAGTGCTTGATACATATTTGTGCTCACTAAATATCTGTGGAACAAAATAGCAATGGACTACTAGACTCTGAGAAGTGACTGGTGGTTACCATGGGGGAGGGGTTAGGGTGGGTGGATCCTCCAATATTTTATTTGTCCATCTGATTAGAGATCTAAAATGAGGATTACCCCAAAAGAAACTGTAACCTTCAGATGAGAAGAGGAAATACCAAAAGAGAAATTCCAACTATTCTATGTAGAGAATTATTACATTTTTCTATGTAGACCAATTGGGGAGCTTTTCAGGGGAGTCAATTATTAAATCCTTAACAAGGTTCAGATTACTATGCAAATTTTAGCTAAAAAATAGAAATAATTTAACACTGTCTTGCCAATGTTCCTAAGTTATTTCATCTTTTGTCGCAACTTAACTTAAGAAAATAGTCTTAAAGTGAAAAATGTTGAAAAAAATTTTTAAAGAAAGTGATTTTAGATTGTAGGCCTCTTGAAACAAGGGACTATATTTATATTTCTTGTGACCTTTCCCACAAACCTGACTTGTCCCCAGAACACTTGGCATCATAACAGATGCTCAAGAGTGTTTATGGCATCTTAATTCACTTACTATTTGAAATTTATTGGATATATATTTCTACACTTGGCATCATTGACCTTTACAATGATAACTCCTGAATGAAAACATTAAGTAAACAGGTTAGAAAAATCAACTAATTTTAGAACTGGGCTTTATCTGCAGGTGACTTCTACTGTGAAAAATAATGGCTTTGATCAGTAGATGAATGGATAAAGAAGATGTGGACATATACACAATGAAATACTATTCAGCCATAAGAAAGAAACAAATCCTACCATTTGCAACAACATGGATGGAGCTGGAGGACATCATGCTTAGTGAAATAACCCAGGCGGAGAAAAACAAATGCCAAATGATTTCCCTCATTTGTGGAGTATAACAAAGAAGCAAAACTGAAGGAACAAAATAGCAGCAGACTCACAGACTCCAAGAAAGGACTAGCGGTTACCAAAGGGGAGGGGTGGGAGAGGGTGGGTGGGGAGGGAGGGAGAAGGAGATTGAGGGGTATTATAATTGCCACACATAGTGTTGGGGGGATAATGAGGAAGGCAGTGTAGCACAGAGAAGGCAAATAGTGACTCTGTGGCATCTTACTACACTGATAGACAGTGACTGCAATGGGGCAGGGGGGGGATTCGATAATATGGGTGAATGTAATAACCACATTGTTTTTCATGTGAAACCTTCATAAGAGTGTATATCAGTAATACCTTAATAAAAAAATAATAAAATAATGGCTTGGTACAAGGAACAGATTCTTTTACTTTCTTTTTCCTTTTGGAAATGACTAGCTGCTTGAATTTTGAGCTCTGATGTCTCCCTATATTCCATCTATGGCCACCAATGGTCAGACTGACAGATAGTTCCCAGCTAGAATAAGTCTCCTCTCCTCTGATATTTTCACTTGCTCCTATTATAGCTCAAACATACTGCATTGTAACAGTTTGTTTACATATCTGTATCTCACACCAGTTTGAGCTCTTTGGGTTCAGGCACTCTGTTTTATGCCCTCAGAGTCTAGCAGAGTGACTGTCATAAAAGATCTCCAGGGCCTGTACTGACAGGAGTTTAAAAACAGTTAAATAAGAACAGAACGACCTGCACAGATATCATGAAAGAGACAAACAGCATCTGAACATCATATGTACTTACAATATAATTGAAGGATGTGTCAGCAAGCACAGCATACTGGCGATACAATGTGTGCCTTGTAAACATCTCATCCTTAAGGGCATGGAAGCTGAAATAAAAGAAACAGTGGAATTAAAATGCATAAGAATCATAGGACAAAGCAAGCCAGTATTATGTTTCTGTGATTAGGAACTAGAAATTTCAGTGTAAGAGAAAAGAGATGCAAGTAAAACACTGAAAATATTGGTATGAACTTATTACTCCTTTCACTTCTAAAATGACATACCTCCTGTCGGGCCCAGACTGTGGTTTTAAAACATTTTCCCTAGAAAAGACTGGGGAATTTTTCAGAAATGGCTGTTTCTAGGTCTAAGGCATAAATGTCCAAGTTGAGCCAAGACATTTTATTTTTAGGAGAGTCATCAAAGATTATGTCAAAAGAACACAGCAGTCAACTCTGAAGGTCTCCCACTGACTTAAGATTGGAGAAATTAAGCATCAAAACTAATGATGATAATGTTTTGAAACACAACAAATATATTAAAAATTTGAGAAATTCCAGCCTACCCAGATTACAAATGATGCTAAAATAAGGAGATTCAACTATCAGGCAAGCGGGCTCTGGAGAGAAAGTCAAGAGTATGCTGGACAACCTTTGGCAACCAACTAGGAAGAAAGAAAAACATCAAAATCATAGTATTCAGTCAGATAGAGGGCTCTCAGAAGAGATTAGATGTGAGACTCATGGATCAAAATCTCAGTGAGGTGCCACGACAAAGCTACTAGGATGACTGAAAGACAGACAATAGCAAATGTCGGAAAGGATATAGAGAAATTAGAGCCTGTATTCACTGTTAGTGAATTGTAAAATGGTGCAGCCACTTTGGAAAACAATTTGACAGTGTCACACACACACACTCACATGGCCAAATACAGAATGTGGAACATTCTACATAGCAAATGAGAAAATCAATGGCTTGGAAAGAATGGGGAGGTAAGTAAGACCATTATAGAAAAAAAAAGATTTGAGGCACATACCCCCAAATGCATGAGATAATCAAGATATTCGAATATGATTGGGTCATTAAATAATACTAAAGAATTTATATGGATAATTTTAGTAGGTGTGATAATGGCATACCAGGTATGTAAAAGAGAACATATTTTTATCAATTAAAAAAAAGCTCCTAGTGATTTCCCATTTCAGAGTAAAGCTCCAAATCTACTTCACTGGCCTCTTAAACCACTCTCCCCTCCTCACTCCATCCCAGCCCACAGGATTCCTTGCTGTCCTTGAAAACACAAGCTGGCTTCCACCCCAGGGCCTTTGCATGTGGTGTTCCTTCTGCCTGGAATGCTCTTCTAGATAATCACACCACTTTGTCCCTCATTCATTCAGGTATCTGCTCTAATACCATTTGGCTAGAAAGGTCTTTCTTCCCTGACCACCATTTTTAAACTAGCAACTCCTGCCCAGTCTGCAGAGGCACAATGTGTCATCTAATATGACATATTGCATCATATAATATGTCATGACCCCACATATTATACATTTACTTGTTAACTGTGTTTCCTCCCAATAAAAGGTAAGTTCCACGAGGGCAGGGACTTGATGCATTTTGTTTACTGTTCTATCTCCAGTTTCTAGAAAAATGACATAGTAACCTAATGGGCTGCTTTTGAGAGTGTAAACTGTTACAACCTTGCTGGAGAACAATCTAGGATGCATACTGTGACATTTTTCACATAATGGAATTTACTAGAGGAAGATGTTTGCTTGAGAAAGAATCTTTTCCAAATAACTATAAGTGTACCTTTTGGGGAGTAGGCTGGCTGAACTGGGAAGAGTACAGTGGCAACGACTGATCTTTTAATTGCCTTCATAGTTTTGCCTTTTCTAGAAATGTCACATAATTGGAATCATACAGTATACAGCCTTTTCAGATTGGCCTCTTTCACTTAGTAATATGCATGTAAATTTCCACCATGTCTTTTCATGGCTTGATAGCTCATGTCTTTTTAGTGCTAAATAATATTCCATTGTCTGGATGCACCACAGTTTATCCTTCTGCCTTCTGAAGGACAACTTGGTTGCATCGGTTTTGGCAATCATGAATAATGCTGCTACAACCTCCGGGTCTGCTTGGCTTTTGATTCCAACTCTCTCACTTTCCACCCTGGACGACGGCCTCGGAGCACCGTTGGCTGGGCACTCCGAACCTCCTGCGTCAGCCCCTCACCTGCCCACGCCCTGAGAAGCCTTGATGAGAGGGAGGGACAAAACTCCAGGAAAACACCACATGCCCAAAATGTCAGACTTACTTTAATTTGGCTTTGGCGTTTCTTGTAAAATTTGAATTTCATAGCAGATGAAAATTAAAGTTTTGTGGGTATGCTCATGGGGCAATGAGATACATAGAGGATTTTTACATTATCAACAAGCTATCAAATGTTGAATTCTCTCTCTCTCTTTTTTTTTTACACTATACCCTGACCTGGGCTGAAAACAAAGATGCAGTGTCTAAACATGTCAGGAGTGAAACTGAAGAGCCAGGTGAGGGCAGGTGTACCGGGACAACCACTGCAGCCCTCTGACGGGGCAAGAGACGGAATGAATCTCAGAGTGAGCCTGCGCCACAGACACCCTGTCTTTTCCTCCGTCGTTGGCAATCTCACTGCCGTGGGAGCTGAGTGCTACCCAATGAGCCGGGAGAGCAGTGGAGGTCGGCAGCAGCGTCTGTGCCTCTTCCAGATCCGTTCATTCCAGACTAGTGTGGACGCCGCGAGTAAGCTGCCTCTGACTTGGAAAGTACGGGGGACGAAGGTGAGTCCAGCAGCTCCAGGAGCTCACCTGATGGGACAGGGGCGGCCCAGGTGGGTGTCGGTGGACCAGTGCCTGGGTTTGGGGTGGGAGTGGTTACATCCCTGTGGCATCAGCCAGGTGGCAATCTCTCCCCAAGCTGCTGTGCCACACCTGCACACCTTTTGTGCCCAGGAAATGTTGACAATGACATCAGCAGCTGTACTAGGTGGGCCACGCCGAGGGAAAGGACTAGCCCACTCTTGCCGGTGCTGCTTAAGTTCAATATTTCTGGAAACAGAGCACACTCAGCAGAGATGGAAAAGCAGCTGAGAGATGAAGCTCTGAATTGGACTGAGACTGAATATAAATCAAGAGTTGGCTCAGAAATCACTGGGGTTGCTGTACTTCCTCGAATAGCTAAAGTGAAGTTTGTCCTCTACTAAACTGAAATGACTCCTCCCTATCTAAGATCTGTTACAGTGAAATGAAATGACCACTTTAGCACACCCACGTTTGCACTGTACGGTTAGTCTCCATACCACAGCAGGATGCAGTCCACGGCACCCACACTCTATGTTGTTGCGTGTCACCCTGAATTAACACTTGGTGAGGCAACCAAGCTAGAGAGACAAGGTATTATGTCCCAACATTGTGTCCCAGTTAGTCCGCCAAAGAGAAAACACAGAAAGTATGTACGGATATTTTCTGCTGTCCTAAATATGTAAATAAAGTCTGCAGAGACCAGTGAATAAAATTGTCAACACCTTGACTAACAGCAAATCAACCTGAAGTCAAATTGAGACATTCTTGTAAATGGTCACTGAAGGATAGGATGAATTCCATAGGGACAGACATAAAGTACATCTTAAGGATGAAAGTGAACTGCACAGAAAAACCTAAGGGAAATACATTCCACTCAGTTTCAGAGATAGTCCAAAATCCACGGGCAGGGAAATGAAATTACGCACATGGTAAAGCTTCCTTTGTCCTCAGTCTCTTGTGTCACTTGATTCTATATTCTACCCTTGCAGTAACTGTGTGAGGTAGTTAGGGTCGGTATAAACATGCACATTTTTCAGAGCACAGATGTGCAACCCAAGCAGAAGCACAAAGCAGAACATTTTACCACAAGGAGGAGATCTTTCACTCACCATCACATGGTGTTTGTGGTACCATGTGGATTCTCAGTGTGCCCCTTGGGATTAGTTCAGTGTCATATATACAGCAATGTACAGAATTTCATACACACACAAACACGCAATGTACAGTGTATCCTTAGGAAATGCTGTGCAAATGTAGGGCATTGTCACTTTGTCAAGTTATGTGTGAGTCTCAAGCCTGACCTATAAAATCAGACCAATATTGGATCCATCCTGTCTTGAATGATCCTTGACTATGAAAAAATCTTGCAAAGGAGCTTCTAACAAGTGATAAAGAACAGAATATTATGGAAGGAAATAACATAATTTTTAACATTAACATGTTAAGACAAGGAAAAAAATAGGCATTTTCTCTGCTTGGCATCACTGTTAGCTTTTTCAGAATTGCAGTGTTGCATTCTCCATTTTTAAAAAGATGAAGATAACATAGGGAAGAGAAATTAAAATGATCATGTGAGTGAAAAACAGACCTGACAGATTAAGGAGTTAGAACTATTTTGTCTGGAAAATGCTAGAAGACCTAGTATTTAAAGCAATTTTACAAAGAAGATAAAGACCAGTTAGATATTATCAAATGCAAATGAGCAGGGAAATGTTTTAATAGCTTTATGGAGGAAGATGACCATGTAGGTTTGCTAAATCAGGTATCAAGAGAGTCTGTCCTGTTGATCCTTGAAAGTTGAAGCACTGAGATAGGGAGTCTTGAAATTACTTTTCAAGAAAGTCTTGAATTTTTTTTTCTCTGAAGTGACTTTGCCAACTCTTCTATTTTAGGCTAATTATTTTGCATTTCTTGTTAAACGTGCATGAGACCATTTTATATCAATTAAAATGTACAGAAAAGTGCAATTAATATGTACAGAAAAATTCATCCTCTACTCCCAATTTCCTTTAAAATACGATTAGTCACATTTTTATAAATAGAATTTGTGTATATCACACTGTACCTTTTCCTGAGAATAAAGAATTTCTTTTCCCAGGTTTTGCCTTATGTTCTAATTCCTTCTTAAACCTGTAATAAATTTATAGATGGTTAAATACTGTATTAGCTATAAATTATGAATAATTATATATCATTATTATCAGTTCCTTTTTGTCTTCTTTTTCTCATCCTCTAGCTCAGCCTTTAATATTCCTATTTGCTTCTCCAAAACATGTTTGTCTTTAGTCTTTTAATAGAAAATAAATCAAAAAATTAATAACATGAACAGTACACCCTGTTTCTCCACAAATCTGAAAGGCTATTCCTATTAAATAGCATGCATACTCCAACTACTGTCAAAAATTATTTGAGGGAACAGTGAGTTATAATTACTTGCAAATTCCCATGAACTGGAAGAAGTTAAGATCCCATGCTTCCATTTCCTGTAAATGATTCACCTTAAGGCAGCCAGCTCTAGACAATATCATGAAGTAACCAAAATGTACCTTTATCATCCCTCTCCCTACCAGGTATCCCTTTTTCTACATCTTGTTTTACCTATCTTAATGTGGCCTCTCCAGCTCTTCATCATAATCAGCAGTTTCCCCCAGTTACTCTATTTCCTCTTTTTATCAGAACTGTTCTCAGGAAAGGATCTGATCAAATCAATCATATCAGAGTTTTATGTCATATCTCAGTATTGTTTATAGTTCACAAGGGGACAAAGTTTTAGCAAAAGGAACAAATCTCTAACAGTGGAATTTTAGGCATGTCATGGAGCTTTAGGTGCATCAGTAATGTGCCTCAGAATCATACTATAGAGGCAAACAGGTCCTCTGTCTCTTAAACTGATTCTTAGTGCAGCTTTCAGTCACTCCTACTTTCTAATAATAGCCAGAATCAATATAAACAATAATTAGGCTAATAATAATTGTAATATTATCATTATTATACCTTATCCACTGGTAGTTTCATCTTCTTTTCTTTATGTACCATAACTGGTATTATATCTCTAACCTGGCAAGAAAACAAACCATGGTAAATATGACATTTCAAATCAATGCATAAAGATGTGTATACCTGCAGCTTAGAGAAAGGCAACTGAGGCTTAATATATGCCAGCCATAGTCCCACAGGAGTCTTCTTTGCCTTATCTAATTTATAAAGCTCAATGTTTATACATTGCATCTGTAAATGGGCAATTACCATCCATTAAAACCAATTTTCCCACTACTTTTTTGCTTGTAATGCATTACGCTTTAGTTACATATTGGTCAAATTTTACTATTTTAGTTAAAAAAAAATAAATTGGGCAGTTATCATCCAGTAAAGTCACAAGCTTTAAAAATTTTCATTTTAAATGATAATTAAGATGAGTTTTCTATATCTCTCTGATGATGATGAGAGCAGATGGCAGTGGGAAACATATACTGGATATAAAAATCTACTTGGCGAGCTATCCCTAAATTCCTATATCATAGACAGAAAAAGGTGCTCCTTATTACCACTGTTACCCTCTCTAGTGACACAAACGGCCTTGATCTGTTCCCCATGTTAGTGGGTGGGCTCTGCCAAGGAGGGTATGGAGCCAGGTCTGGGAGCAGGAGTTAGACTTCTGAACAATAAAGTAACAGCAACCGAGAGCTCCCCCGAGCAGTGGCGGTGAGGTCTTGGAAGTGAGACAGAGAGAACCAGCAGGCAAGACCAAAGACTGGAGGTGTCAGTGTGCAGTGAAGCTGCGGGTGACCAGCGCCCGGGGTGGTGTCCAATCTTCAATCTGAAAAGGCATCTTAGTGATATGAACTGTCCCTGTCACTTATCATCTTCAACCTCCTTGAACTTACATATACAAAGGTGTTGTGTGAGTGGGTGGTTTTAGTAGAAATCACAGAATTGAATTGAATTCAGTGTCTAAACAAAACTGGAATTGCAAGCAGAGTGCAGTGAGACTCAGGAACTGCCTTAGTTCAGTGGAAGAAGGGCTCAGACACAGCAGCCAGCACCAGGAGATGCCACGGGCATCTGCAGAAACCCTCAGACACTGTTTAGGCTGCTGCAAAGCATAGAATGTGGGTTTGAGGCAATTTTACGCATATCTGAGGGGGCAGAGAGAACATAGCTGACATCAGCTGCCACGTATAAAAATAACAAACTTGTCATTTTGTTGTTATATTGTTATATTTGTTATATTGTTATTTTATTGTTAATAAAATCTATAATTTGAGAGCTTACTCTGTCAGACACTTCATATATATTACTATTTATTTCTATTTTTCTACTTATTGATTCTCTTTCATATTACTTCAGATTTTTAATGATAATGCAGGCATACCTTTTAAAAATAAATGGCAAATAGTATACAGGAACATAAAACTCACTTTCCGGAAGCTAAGGGTTTTGTCTTGCTTAGTTTTTCTCATCGTTATCATTATAAACAAATGATAGTCATTACTGATTTGGGCTCCCCACAAACAAAACTTAGGAATTCAGAGCATTCATATTACCTTCCTCTTTCCCTCTCTCTCATATGCCCACTTTTTTATTTGCAAATGTTTGGCTCTTATCATAGTTGCTTTTATTATGACTTCAATATGTAAACTTCTATATCTTGATTTATTAACTCCCTGCTGTGAGAGATGAGAAATTTATTTAGGTTTTTTTTCCAACACGTTTGACTCTCACAACCTGACAATTTGTGGAAGAAATTCCATTTTTGCATTGTTGATATCTGTAGGATTGTTCCCTAACTGTAATTAAGTCCTCCATGCTTTACCTACACCATTTTTTATCTGCATAATTCTAAAAACTGAAATCTAGTAAAGAGCATTTACAATGTGTTTATGTACATATTATCTATCACAGGAGCACACAGTGGACCATAGGAACTGGACCATAGGAAAGGAAATGTAAACCTGATACTAATGCCACTGAAAGGAATCTCTTCAAACTTAATTCAATGTTTCAGTTTTTCTCTATCTTTCCTCACTTCTGAGTCATACTTAATTTCTCCTTTTTCTTGTGTCCCTATCATCCCTTATATTGGATAGCTCTTATGTTTGGTTAGAGTATTTCCCAAGCAATTTTTTTTTCAGACAGGTTCCATGAATGATAAACTCTGAGTTTTTACATATTCAAAATATCTTTATTTTTCTTACATATCAATTGGGACTTCAGCTGGATATAAGAATTAGGGTTCAAACTCTTTTTTTTTTCTTTTTGAAAACTTTGCTGTATTTTCTTGTAGAAACCAATGGTGCTGATGAGAAAATTAGTATGTTTCCTTTTTTTGTTCCATTGTAGACAAACTTGGGTTGTTTTTTTCCCTCTTAATTCTTAGACCTAAAATCACACCAGGTTGTACCAACTCTTTTCATCACTCTAAGACACATATTTCCTGTTTCACTCAGCATTCTAGCATCTTTGAAATGGAGATGTCTTACAACTGGTGGGTGTCATAATTTCATTGGTAGCAGTTTTCCCTTGCTACGGGTACATAAATAATGGACAGTCTTACAACCTGTGGCATCTGAGACCTGATAAAAATACAGTAGATATTTTGCTCTTCTTTTTAATCCTGCTTAACACTTAGTAGGTTTTTCCATCTCGGTATGAATGGTTTTTCCTGTTAGCTCATGGAAATTTTCTTTTTATTGTCTTACTTTTATTCCATATGTTTTGCTTTTTGAAAACTCTGTTAGGAAGGTATGAGACCTTTTTGATCTATCCTCCATATTTTAACTTTTCTAAAAAATTTCTGTTAGTCAGTAGCAGACTCACAGACTCCACGAAGGGACTAGTGGTTACCAAAGGGGAACGGGATGGGGATGCTGGGGAGGGAGGGAGGGAGAAGGAGACTAAGGGGCATTATGATTAGCACACATAATGTAGCGGGGGCACAGGGAGGGCAGTGCAGCACAGAGAAGACAAGTAGTGACTCTATAGCATCTTACTACACTGACAGACAGTGACTGTAATGGGTATGTGGTGGGCACTTGATAATAGGGGGGAATGGAGTAACCACAATGTTGCTCATGTGAAACCTTCGTAAGATTGTATATCAATGATACCTTAATTTAAAAAAGCAAAATAAAATTATGTTAGTAATTTTGCACTATGTTCTAAGAGACATTTTTCACTTTATCTTCCAGAGTGTTCAATAGGTCTTCAGTGGTGTCAATTTTATTATTCAGTCTGCCCGTTGCTGGTTTTTTGGTTGGTAGTGTTACTTCCAAGAAATTGTTCTTTTCCTCAGACTATTCCTTTTTCGTAGCAGCCTGTGTTTGTTTAATGGATAAAGGTTTCTCTCGAGTGTTCCCTAGAATATATTTATTTTAAAAATGTCTGTTCCCTGAATCAACTATTTTCTTCAGGGCCAACACTCTGTTCTTTTATTCACTAAATATTTGCTGAATTCCTGCTATGTGACAGGAAACATTCTATGCACTGGAGATACAGTAGAAAACAAAGCAGGGCTGAAGCAGGGGAGACATATTTGAGAGGAATTATGAAAAAGGCAGAATTTAGGGTACTTTCTGAGTGAAGAAGTAATTGCCCATAATTTCTTATTTCAGCAACTGGATGAAGAATTGTCCTGTTCACTAAGATAAGTAAAAATAATAGGATTAGGGACAATTTTGTATGCTAGTTTTCTTTTTTTTTAATGAAGAAGAACTTGATAAATTCAGATTCAGACCTTTTGAGACTGAAGTACCCATGGCATGTTCATTCACATGAAGACATACAACAGGCAACTGGGGCAAGAGCCTGGAATTTGGAAATGGGGTTGATCCTAAAGATGCAGTTTAGAGTAATCAGTGTATTAGTTGAAGCTGACAACTTGGATGAAGTCATGAATGAAATGTATAGAAATAGAAAAGCAGAAAGTCAGGGATGGAAGCCTGTGTCCAGATGTAACTGACCTCACTGATGCAAGGAGCCTCAGGATTCACCCAGCCCTGAACCTGGACCCTAAACCAGTGCTCTTGCCTTAGTTCTTCAAACTCTAACTTCAACTCTATCTGTCCCCATAGTCCTAGAGAGCCCTTTAATGGTCCTAGAACTACCCAAATAATTGTTCCCTGAGTTGTCTACATAGTATCTTAAACTTCCTAGAGGAAACAACCTACCACCCCAACATTGCGACTCAGTTTTCCTAAGTCCCATGTAACAGGAAGCTAGTCAAAAACAAAGCCTAAGGCATAACAACAGCAATTAAACAAAAATAATGAAAAGTCTTTATTATCATTA